AAAAAAAAAAAAAAAAAAAAAAACACATACCTACATATATGAAGGCTGATCAGAAAGTAATACCTCCTACTTTATACCTCCCATCACATGTTGTTGCCATGTGAGAGATGGCAGCAGAGGGGCATTCTGACAGGGTGGTGTCTGACATAGAAGTGCAGATGAAGCAAAGGGGTGGAACTGGATTCCTCTATGCAGAAAAAAAAATGGCACCCATTGACGTTTATCAGAGCTTGTTGAAAGTTTATGGAGATCAAACAGCAGATGTCACGCAGTGAGGCAGTGGGTGGTGCACTTCAGAAATGGTGATAGTAACAGTGTCTCACCTCTGCTGGTGCAGTTTGTTAAGAAAGTTGCATGCAGGCTCTTATTCATTGCTAGTGGAAATGCGCAGCTCTTTTCTCTTTGAAACAGTGTTATTGTGCTCTTTGTATCTGTTGTAGTTTCCTTAGGAGTTAAGGAAGGAGACATTTCTGTCAGAGTGACTTATGCATATTTATCTACATATGAAAATACATACATGCTCATAATACTGCTCTGGGCGAAGAAAATCTGTTGATGTTTCAATGCTGGGAAGCACTATGAGCTGCAAAAATGTGAAGGAAAGGTATGCTAATAGAAGAGAGTGTAGAGGGATGGATTTCAGTTCAGATTGCAGACAGAAAAATTTAAGATAACTTTCTGACACAGAAAAAGCAACGAACTCAACAGAAAAAAAAAAAAACAACTTTAAAACACATTTAATAGAATAATAGTTGTGTTAGGTATGTGTGTGGAGAACAAGGAAAAATGCAATATATTTTCACGGCAATCTACCTCCGTAAGCTCTTATTCTACAAGTGTCTGCTTTTGAAACCTTTTCTCGTAGCTGCCTGGCTTTTAGGTATGTAATAGTGTAAAATGAGCAGCCAGAAACACAGTGGCAATGAAATGCAAAACCATAAACTACTCTGGCTACAGGAGGAGGGATGAAAGCAGTTATTAGCACAGCATGTAGGTCCTGAGTTACAAAATCTTTCAGTGATGGTTATGGCCACTACTGCTGATTTGGATATGTGTGGGCACAGATCTGACCACAGGGTGCGAGCTGCTCAGTAGAACTGACACAGATTTGCTGACTGAAGTGGTCGTGCTATAAAGATGTTAGGTTGAATGTGTTCGGGCATAGTGGTGATGGGTTGACTGCTAGACTTAGCGGTCTTTTCCAACCTTAATGATTCTATGATTCAGTGACAAGAACAAAGGAAGACAGTAGGAAAGGAGAAAACAGCTGGGGACAGTTCATTTCTCTGTACTTATCGAGGCCTGCATGCCTAAGACCAGGAGCCAGAGAGGGAAGAACCGCTGTATCCTGGAACCCTCAGGTCAGGGCCACACGGGTGCTGGAGCCACTCGGTATAAGCGTGGGCTGCGGGGCTGCCCGGGAGCAGGGTGAGCGTGCAGCATCGCCCGGGGGACGGAGTGCAGCTGCAAGCAGCAACAGAGGACACAGCCCTGGAATGAGGGGGCAGACTCCTGAAGTCTGCGCTGCTGCTGCTGCCTCCCGGACCTGCACTTGGAAGCGCCGCTGTTTGACGCAGACGCCACGCAGGCTTTGCTTCTCAAGCACCTTGCCCCGCGCGAGCAGCGGGTCCTACCGCCCCGCTGGACTCCGGACATCCCGGCAGCGCTACCACGCGAGGTGTCAGGGGGACCCCGCTGACACCCCTTCGCTGCCCTCCCGCCTGCCCAGCGCTCCCCTCCGCCCTCCGCCCTCTCCGCCTTCCGCCCCGCCTGCGGAGCTCCACGGGCGCGCGGCGCCGCCCGACCGCACACCCTCGCACCCGCTCGAGGACCCCGAGGCTCAGCCACGGCCCCCGCCGCGCCCCCTCCCTCTCTCGCGCCCCCTCCCTCCCTCCTCCCCGCCCTTCGGGGCGGTGCTTGCGGCTCGGCCGCGGCCCCCGGCTCAGGGCGCCTCTCCCATTCCCTCTACTCTCTCGGCCTGGCAGCGGCAACACGGGCGGCGAAGGGCTCGGCCATGGGCACCAACGTGCCGCCGCGCCGGGAGCCGCCCGCCCAAGGTCCCCATGTAAGTCATCGGCGTGGCTTCGCGCAGCCCGCGGGGGAGGGGGGTGCGACGGTGTGGGGGCCGCGGGGAGCCCCCGGGAGCGGGGCGACGCCCCGAGATGCCGTGCCTGGATCCCGTGGGGCCGGCGCCGGGCGGACGGGACGGGATGCGGAGCCCCCCGATCCCCGCGTGTCGCGGTGCCGGAAGGTCCGCCGTGCTGCGCGGCTTCAGCCTTGCGGGGTAGTCCGTGTTAAGATTTGGGAGCTGGCAGCCTTCGCTCAGCAGGCACCGTCTTTCTTGCGACTTCCCCGCGTACTGTTTGGTGATGCGTTGGGTTTAGGCTCCCTCGTGTTGGGGTTAGCGCCGGGAGGGCAGTCGGAGAAGGTTTCAGGATGTTAGGTTTTAGCATTATCAGTCACTACATTTGTTTTGCTGTTGTCCTGGTGGTGATGAGGCATGGCCCCATTGTGCCAGGTGCTCGGTAGGCACCCACTGAGAAGAAAGATGTGGGGCTTTGGAGGGTTCACATGCCAAGCAGGTTATGGTCAGTGGGTGGGTGTGAGGCTGTGCGTGCCGGCAGACTGACAGGGAGCTTCATCTCTGTGGGGCAGTATTTCTGAGTAGGTTTTCTTCGAAAGCGTTCAGCTAATGGAAGTGAAGTGAAGGTGCCGCTGAGGGAAGGGCAGAAGAGAGGCAGACAGAGGGAGAAGGGGACTCTGAGCCATGGGGGCTGACAAGGTGTTCCCAAGGGGTTCAAGGTACCCGCCGAACCCCAGGCAGGTCCCTGCTTCATCCCCTTGGGCAGCACCTCCAGCACAGGGTTTGCTCTGCCCAAAGTGGTTACCGCCAGCTGCTCAATACGACCTGTAGAACAGGTTCAATGACTGCTCATCATTTTTTGTGTCTGTGACCAGAAGTTACGACTGCATGCAGGAGAGATGCAGAAAAGACATTGGAGATCTGCTCCGCAGAGAAGAACCTGGTTAAGCTGGTGGACAGTAGGTTGGCCATAAGCCAGCATTGTGCCCTTGTGGCCAAGAAGGTCAATGGTATCTGGGGTTGCATTTTTAAATGAGCATGACCAGAAGATCCTTCTGTTCTGCCCTGGAGGCCATATCTGGAGTACCTTGTCCAATTCTGGGCTCCCCAGTTCAAGAAAGGCAGAGAACTTCTAGAGAGAGTCCAATAGAGGGCCACACAGATGATGAGGGTCCTGGGGCATCTCCTCTATGAGGAAAGGCTGAGAGACCTGGGGCTGTTCAGAATGGGGAAGAGAAGACTGAGAGGAGATCTTATCAGTACTTATCAGTATTTAAAGGGCAGCTGTCAAGTGTGTGGGGCCAGGTTCTTGTTAGTGGTGTGCCATAATGGAACAAGGGGCAGTAGGCACAAACTGGAGTACAAGAAGTTCCATCTGAACCTGAGGAAAAACTATTTTACTGTGAGAGTGACAGAGCACTGGAACAGGCTGCCCACAGCAGTTGAGGAGTCCCCTTCTCTGGAGATATTCAAGACTTGCCTGGACACTCTCCTCTGCAACCTCCTGTAGGGAACCTGCTTTAGCAGGGGGTTGGACTGGATGATCTCCAGAGGTCCCTTCCAAATCCTACAGTTCTGTGATTCTGTGATGTCTGCCAAAGTACAAAACCAAAGATGTGTGCCTGTATGTGCAAAGAGGTCCTGTCCTGTTTGAATCTGAATGTCTTACCATGTTGTGTAGAAATTCCTCTTTCTCTAAAGTGTGTCTTTACACATCCTGGCTTTCCTCTTGCCTGTCAGCCAGCTTTGAGCTCAGATCTGGTTCCCAGTCTCCTTCAGATCTGCAGGTGCTGAGAAATAACATCATCCTGGATATCCTCCAGAGACAACATCCATCTAAGATACAGACTTTAAAAAAGTGCATTTCCAGCAAGCACTGAAAATATGTCCACAGTCCTTATTTTTAAATAAAAAATTCTTCGACAAAGTTTTTTTGACCTCTTGTAGCTGTGTTTCCCCATGGTGCCTTAAGTTTAAAGACAAACTGGAACTGAGTTTTAAGGAACTGAGAATCCCATCAATGCTGTGATGCTCAAGAAAAGGGGATTTTTATGTATGACATAAAAATGAGACTAGGGCAGAGTCAAGGATCCCTCTGATATTTTTTACAAACCTGCATAATTCCATGCGGTGGAAGTTGGTAGTGGTGACTTTCCCATTAAGTACCTTGCTTTAAAAATGCAAACCATCCTTTTGAAAATCCTTTTCGAATTGCCACATTTTTCTCATAATTCTACTGTAAAAGAATGAGACGGCTCATGGGACTTAGCGTGAGGCACAAGAGCATGCTACGCATTGTCAGTACTCCAGAATTGCCTGGCAGGGTTTTAGAAAGCGCAGGCAAATAGTCTCCTTAGTCAAAGGCAGGGATGCTTATGCTGATTTCTAACATGACTGCCTCTGTAGCCAAGCTGATCAGAAGGTGTCTGTAACCATATGGCTCTGGGTGGCCTTCTACATCCTGGCATACATCTCGCCTTGTGAAAATAGGCTGCTTGTCTCTGGTGCTGTTCCAGGAGTATGGCCTTTCCAGGAGAGCCTCAGCAGAGCCTGTGGAGGTTAGAGCACCTACTGGGAGCATCACCTTTCCCGCAGTCAGGGAATACTTTAGCAGTTGTTTTTAATTTGTAATTTGAGACTATCTTTCATTCAAACATCGAGTACCAAAATCAAAGCCCTAATGAAATACCATGCGTAGAAGTCCAGCTGAGAAAATGAGTCCTGGAAGTTGACTAAGAATAACTGCTGATCATCACTCAGATGCTTTAGACACAATTTTCTGTTTCAGTTAACTATGAAAAGGAAGGAAGGAAAGAAGTAAATTACCATTTACCGTATGAGTTGCTTTTTTTTTTTTTTTTTTTCCCTCCCCTTTCTAAATGTCATCCTGAACTTTAAAACTTTGCTCTTTGTCATTTACAAGTCCTGGCTTCCTGTCCAAGTAAAATGTGTTTACAGAAGGTCTGTGGCAGTCTACTTGCACAGTCTCTAGAAATAGTGCCTCCTTTAAATTCGTGTGCTTGTTCTTTAACTCAACTTTTGGTTATTGTTTGGAGAACAAAACCATTTCTGGAGATTACTAGTAATGAAAACGTGAGCTATAGATAATCCAAGCAAAAAATGAGGTTGTTTTATCCCTGGCCCCAAATTAAAAACAAGAATGTACTTTTAGATAGTGCTTGATGCAGAAATGCTGTGCTTTTGACTGTCATCTGAGTCTTCCACAGCATTTCTGCAAGGATCTTCAAATGAAAAAAAATGAAATTATCAGGAGGACCAGATAACAGCCACTTATATATATTATAATAGTGTAGGAATTAAGACTGCTCTAACAGTCACACAAATAAAAATGATGCTCGCATAACTCAGCTAATAGGACCTGTCAGGAGGATTTGCCCATTTCTTAGTGAAGGCTACACACATATACACAGACACACACACATGCAAAAGAAGAAGAAGAAAGATTTTTCTCACTTTATATTCTGTCTTTAAAAATTTCCCCAGCTGTACTGAAATTACAAACTGTCTGTATTGTGTAGCATAACCATCTCTAAAATCACATTTTCTTTTTGTCTCCGTAGAAGCTAAAAGTCAAATTAGACATTTACAAATTACTCAAAGCAATTTTACCATGGGAAAAAAAAAAAAAAAAAAAAAAAAAAGGATGAAATACATATTTACTTGTATCATTGTTCAGTCTAGATCTGAGCTTTGTCTATGTAGTAGACAGAATGTAGTAGTATTAACCCTCTAAAATTAGAAATTATGGACTAGCACACATTGGTCATCAGATAGTCTCATTGAAAAACACAGTTGCAAGCAAGTAGGATGTTGTGGCACATTAGAAGCTATAAAAAAGCTGTAGAGCTTATGTACTAGCTGGACAAGACGAACAAGTAGAAACCTCTAGACCTGCTCACAGTGCAGGAAGTATTTATTAATTCTGACAGAATGACAGAGTTTGATGCTCCAACATTCCTCACTGCCAGTCATTTAATATTCTTTTCAATATCATATCTCAATTGTAAGTGGGAAAAATCAGGCAGTCCTATCAGTAGATGTGCATTTCTGCTTCTTTCCCCCTCCCCCCAGCTTCTGGCTTGTTGTACTTCCTGCTCCATGGAGCACATCCCTACACCTTTGTTGGAGCTTGCAAGCCTGCACAGACCCACAAGCACAGCAGCACCTCTCTGGTTAGGGAGTCTGATCTGCCCTCAGTCTCTGCACCCATTGAGACAAAAATGCCCACCACTAGTCTGTCACTGACAGGAAGTTTGGAGTGAGGGCCAAGTGCTGGGTGGAATGTAGAACACCAGATTAGAGCCACAGCTCTACTGGCAGATAATAATTTTGGTGTCTTACATCTTTAAGGTTGAGATAATACAGCATGCATGAAGGAGAAATGGTGCAGCTTTAGCTTCTGCTTGAAAGCCAGATAGAAGATCAAGCTATGCTTTGTAACCAAGTCTCTTTAAAGAGAATTAACAAGTTGTGATAGAAGCCCAGAGTGAGGAGAATTGAGAAAGCTTAATAGAACTTAGTTTTGCTGTCTGGTCCTTCACATTTGAGAGGCATTTGCATCAACCTAACTTGGCCATTTCTTCTGAACGTTTTTCTTTACCAAGTATGCAAATACCACTCCCAAATGAAGACAAAGTGACAATGGAAATCTGTTTGGTGACAAACTTACCGCTGTTCTTACCTAAAGACAACAGCTGGCAACCAAGTTGATTCCTCCCTAGCTTTTGTCCAAATACTCTTGATTAGGTAGTGGCTGTATTCATTCCTGTTTGAACATATCTCAGCCAGTTTCAAGTAGACTGTCTTTTCTGCTTATCTGAGGCTTAGACACAGCACAGGCTTCAGCAGACTGCATCTTGCTGTCCTGCTTGAAAATGCTGCTACAGGCATCATGCCAGCTGGGCTGCCATCATTGTTCAATCCCACCTGCTTCAAAGCCAGCTTTGTGTGTACAGAAGTGT